ATTTTGAGAAGAAAGGAAAATTTACTATTGTATAAGTTACTACTAGAGATGTAAAAAATATATATATATATGTATATATATATATTGACGTTTGATAATAACTTTAAAAAGTATTATGCTTTTGTATAATTGTTAAAAATAAATTTAATTATGATAAATTTAATAGTGTGCTGTTGCATTCTAAAACGCAGCCTAAGATTTTAATTATAAAAAATTAATTCTTAATAACATAGGGCCATAAGCTTAAGCTTTTAAGCATTAACAACTTCCTATGAGAAAAATGAGATATTAAAGTAAAATAATTAACTTAGTTGAAGTAACAAATAATTTGAAAGAAATAAATTAGTTAGCTGTAGTTGTAATATGGGAGTGGATAATTAAATAGAAACAGAGGGCGATTTTACTACAAACAAATAAAATTCTTTTCTTTTATATTCATAATAAAATAACACAAAATCAAAGACTAAAGATGAAGAAAATATGGAAATGGATTCTGTCGTAGAAAATCTCAAAGGAGAATAATGGCAATACCAACAATACACACAATAATTTCAAAGTATAATGATTTTTACTTTTATTAAAAAAATAATATTTTACCTTTTTTAATTATACTAAATTAAACTTTAATCGAGAATATCTTAGTGGCTTACCGACTACAATTCTCTTATTAGGGTTTTCTTATGTAAGTTTAGAGTTGTGAGGTTCAAGTCACACTCTTAATGTTAAAAAAAAAAATTAGAAACTTTAATCATTAAATGTCAATGATGAAAAAGCCCTAATAATAAAATCAAATTCTTCATTTAATGGTTGGTGCTTTACATTCAAATTGCGTTAAGTCAAAATAAGGTTATAACTTGCAATCAAATAAAGTATTAAAATGAACTGGGCCTATAAGTCCAATAGTTTGACCTTAAGCATTAAAGTGTTTGAGTGAGGTGGTCGGGGTTTCGAACTCTACCACCGTCTTGAAAATTTGAACTCCACCAAAGCAACCCGATGGCTGTGCGTCTCATTGGAGAGGTGGAATGTTCGTTCGGTTTGAAGATCGAATCCCCACTTGCTAATAACTAATTAAAAACTAATTTCCTAACCATTACCTTGTCAAAATAATAATAATAATAATAAAGTATCAAAATGGTTGAACATAGATTGAAAGAAACTAAATGAGTTGCTAATGATTTAAGTGATTCAATGGTTATCTCCTTCCACTGAAAGTAAGAGGTTTTAAGTTTGTGTCGCATGGCATGCAGGTGTGGTGAAATAAAGATTGAAATAAAGTATAAAAGATAATTGTCTCTCACTATATAACTAATATAAAAAAACTAATATAAAAAAAAAGTGACTAAATGAGTTAAATTAATGATTGGTGCTTTGCAAAATTAATGATTGGTGCTTTGCATTTAAATTGTGTTAAGTCAAAATAAGGCTATAACTTGCAATCAAATAAAGTATTAAAATGGTTGAACATAGATTTAAAGTGACTGTGAGTTAAATCTTGGTGTTGGTTAGCATGGTGCAATGAGTGCCCCTCCCCTTAGGTTATAAGCACAACCAGTTCACCAGGAGATGGATAAAGCACATCCTACCATCCTTAATTGTAAAACATAGGCTCATCATATATTAAATAACACATGACAAAAAGGTGAAAAATTGGTCAATTTTGCGCGTAACCTACATAAAAGCACACAAATCCCACACGCGCGCCTTCTCTTTTGAGACCATTCCCACACGCTTTTGAAAAGCGTCGACAACACTATGCCAATCAAAGGGGACAAACAGCCGCGACCAGGTTGTCCCCAACACCCTCTGCCCAAAAACCACACCGCGTCAATAGAAATTCCTCAAAACGTACGTGCGCTAAATCTCACTTACTGCCGACTAATTCCCAGTCTGTAATAATATACACTACCATAATTCCCTCTCCTTCCTTATTATTATTATTATTATTATTATTATTATTATTATTAATTTATAAAAATAAAAAGTAAAATATTTTAAAATTATTTAAAAAATTATTTTTATATTATTATTATTATTTCTAATATTTTAATTATCAAGTTACCTTAATTTTTATTAACTGCTTTTAATTTTTACTTTATATAACCTCTACAACAGTCTCTCTTCCTTCCTAGCCCCTTCTATATATGACACACACCACGTTCAAAGCTCCAACATAAGCTTTGCATTAATTGGTTTCTAAACCTCGCTTTCTTAGCAAATTAGCTATGGTCGTGTCGTCTCCAACTTCGATGAGAACGAGGAAGACAAAGGCGGTGGGGATTCCCGTCATCGATCTTTCTCTCAACAGGTCAATGTTATCGGAGCCGATCGTTCAGGCTTGTGAAGAGTACGGTTTTTTTAAAGTCGTTAACCATGGAGTTCCAATGGAGATTGTGTCGAGAATGGAAGAGGAAGGGACTGAATTCTTCTCCAAACCGGCGGCTGAGAAACAACGGGCCGGACCAGCTACTCCGTTTGGTTATGGTTGCAAGCACATCGGGTTGAATGGCGATAAGGGCGAGCTGGAGTATCTTCTTCTCCATACTGACCCTCTATCCGTTGCTGAAAGATCAAACACAATCTCCGACGACCCTAAAAAATTCAGGTGCATATTTATCAATCTTAATTCAATTAAGCAGTGTCTTAATTTTTCTGAACTTGTTTTCATGCTATGAATTTCAAGAGAACGACATTTCAAAACTTGGCTATTGAGACATGAGATCGATCCAAGTCTTTGTACCTTACAATTAGGATCATTATAACATTTTACTGCGCATGGAGATTAAATAATTTTTTTCCCCTCAATTTCGCGATTTTCCTCTCTAGAAACTTGAACATTATTTACGTTACACATTCAAAAAGAATATTCATTAGGGAAGCAATGAAAAACTTAAAAAGAAAAAAAAAAAAGGGGGGGATTTGAGTTTTCTTTAGTTTGTGATGCAAGGTTGGGAGCTTCTATGGTTAATTTGTGGCGTGTTCGATTCCTTTGTCTATAAATTAGTTTAATTAATACTTTTTTATTTAAATTTTTAAGGTATACAAGGAGGAGGAAAGTTGGAGAAGATTTTTCTAGTAGTATTCTTTTATGTGCAACACTTGTCTATTAAGTATTATTGCTTGGTATCCTAGAAAGGGACATCTTCTTCCTTTAGTGGTTGATAATTGCAATTTCCTTCAGTGATAGAGAATTATGAGGTCCCTGAATTAGTAGGCAATCACTCTTCCGTGTCCAAATAAGGAATTAGAACCTTATTTTGTTTATAATTTGTTTCATTTTCTAGGTATCCTTTTCAAGAAAAAAATCATTTCGCATGCAAATAACAAGTCAAACATTAGGACACGTGCAAGCCTAAAAAACAAGAAGGGAAAGCCTAGTACCTTTTCTATTTCTTTTAGTATTTATTTGACTTTATTTTTTTTCATAATTTTAGGTAATAATTTAAAAAAAACTCATCAAATAAAACTATTTTTAAAAAATTATTATAAAAATTTGCAATTGTCATTTATACGCAATTTTTTCTAATATAAAACTTAAAATTACATGTAAAAAAAAAGTAAAATAACAGATTAAAAAAAAAGATAAATCACTAACTTCTTACTATAATTACTTGCTTTTCTTTATCAACGAGTAGGGAAAAGGGGGGAAGATCCTTTTGCTTTCCACGAAAATATAATCGATTATTTAGTAAATAAAGTATGTTTAGTTATTGTAGATACTTGATTTATTTATATTGCAATCCATCTTAATTTTTTAAAATTTGAACATAAAACACTTGAAATTAAAAAATTAAAGTAAATAAAGATTCTATTTAATATAATTTTGATTTTAAATTTTTTATATATTTAATAATTATAATTATATTTAAAAATAAAATTTATTATAAAAATTTTAATTTATTAAATATAATGTAAATATGGTATCAATATTACTCAATATATAAAAAATAAAAATAAAAAATTTAAAACAAAAATCATACTAAATAATAAAGTTTAAGCGGCCTGCTACTTACATATGCCTTTGTCAAACCACCCAGTGGAGGAACAAGATCCACCATGTCTCCGGCAAGCCACCAGCATGTTCCCGTCGGTGATCATCTCATCAATAATCCCCCCATCAAATCAAGGATATTTTTTTTTAAAGAATAAAGAAGGAAGTTTTGAATTCCTCACGTGCAAAATTCAAAGTAAAGCAAAAGTTTATTAATTATTTGTAATTTCAGTAAAAAAATATTTTTAATAAAATAATATAAAAATAATTTATATTTTATCTTATAAAATATAAAAATATTTTAATAAATATATAAAATAAATTATATTTTTAATATACAGTACAGTTAAACATAAATCTCATTTCACTGGTGTCTTTTTCTTTTCTTTTCTTTTTTTTTATTTTAACAGTGGGGTTGTTAATGATTACATACGAGAAGTACGGGAATTGGCATGCGAGATTCTTGATCTAGTGGCTGAGGGTCTATGGATCAATGATAAGACCGTCCTCAGTAGGTTAATCAGAGACGTCAACAGCGACTCTTTCCTTAGACTCAATCATTACCCTACGATAAAGGATCGGGACCCATCATCAAACGCAATCAGAAACGATCAGATTGGATTTGGAGAGCATTCGGACCCTCAGATCTTGACCATTCTAAGATCCAACGGCGTGGGTGGCTTTCAAATCTGTTTGCATGATGGACTCTGGGTCGCAGTCCCACCTGACCCCACCCAATTCTATGTGATCGTTGGTGATGCCTTACAGGTCAGTACTAATTATGAAATTAGGACAATTTTGTCCATCACTGTTTTCTTTTTCTTAATTGAGTATCGTTCCCTTTTCCTAAATTGAGTAAGAAAAAGAAATTCCGAGTAAAATTATTTTTTTGTAGCTTTGATGATTTGACATCTGTTCCCAACTTTTTAATGGTTCGTAATTGAGATTTTTGAACTCGAATTCTTAAGTTTTTACCAGTTTTGGACACTGTTTTGGAGTTGTATATATGATCAAAATAGGTTATATGTTACTACTAATACTATTTTTTTTTTCAAATTCGTTTTCATTTATCCCAAAATCTTAAAATTAAAAATTTTAATTTTAAAATTTAAAGTTAAATGTCAATTTTAATTTTAATTTTTAAACTTTAAAATTTGAATATTTTAAGTTTATAAACTAATTTTTGCTCTTTTTTAGTCTCTAACTAAACTATAAAAATATATATTTTTTAGTTTTTTCTTCAATTAATTTACTAAATTTCTCAAAATATGTATATTTTTAATTTCTAAACTAATTTTTGCTCTTTTTTAGTCTCTAATTAAACTATAAAAATATATATTTTTTAGTTTTTTCTTCAATTAATTTACTAAATTTCTCGAAATATGTATATTTTTAATTTCTAAAATTATAATATATGCACAATTTAATAGACTAAAACTAATTAATAGAATAATTAAAAAGTATATTTTTCATAATTCAAGCATTAAAAAAAGTGTAAAAAATATTTTAAAGACTAAAAATATTCAAAATTAAAAATTGAAGGACTACAATTGACATTTAACCAAATCTTGAACTCAAAACTCAATTGAAACGGATCATATGACATCATTCTTTTACAAACTATCTTAAGAATTTTTTTTTTATTTGCATTGTCAGGCTTTGACGAACGGGAGATTCGTTAGTGTGAGACATAGAGTAGCTGCAAATTCGTCGGTAAAGTCAAGAATGTCGACGATGTTCTTTGGGGCGCCGCCACTTGATGTGTTGATATCTCCTCTACCGGAAATGGTGTCACCTGAAAATCCAAGTCTCTACAAGCCCTTCACTTGGAGCGAATACAGGAAAGTCATGTACTCCCTCCCGCTGGCCAACAGCCGTCTTGATTTCTTCAGGATTCATCCCGCCGGTGGGGAGCATAAGATGCCGCCGTTGATCTAGCTAGAAAATTTCGAATTTATAGGAAATTTTATGTAAATGTATATATATGGGGCATGGCAGAAGTTGAAAAGCCGAATACTATTTGCATTAGCTAACAGAGAATTAATCTTTTGGCTTATAATCAAGAAAAATTTATGGATTTCTAGCTAGATAAAAAATATTTTGCATGTATACTGTAATCCTAGTTGTTTTGGGTTTGATGTAACTAAAGTTTGTGTGAGTTTAATTACCTTGAAATATATGTACGAGGAGAGGAAATGATAATGATTAATTTTTACGTTGCATTGTAATTTTTTTTAATACATTAGAAATTAATTGTTTAATATTATAAAAGTTTAAATTTTTAATTTTGACCATAAATTAAGACTTTTATATATTAATATATATTAACTCACCCAAATTTTTATTGATTCCATATGTACATTGTAAATACTATTACTTTTCTTAATGTGAGTAAAGTACATGTTATACTTGAAATTAACCCAAATCTTTAAATTAAATTATGATAACAAATAACAAAAATCGAGAAATCTGGACAAATTTGCACAAGGTGAGACATGGATTTCAGGCTTTCCAATGTATCCTAGGGCTTAGTTGATGTAAAACATATATTATTCTACATTGAACTAGTATATATATAGTGTTGTGATCACTTTAAATGAAACGAATGTAATTAATTTATATATATATATATATATATTCAAAATTAAGATCAATGGATCTTAACTATTGGTGGGATGAACATTGGTGTAAGTAAAATAGGCATACCAACATTTACATGAAGTCATAAGATCTCAGATTACCTTAATCTAGGAAGGGTAATAATATAGAGACAATGTTTTTATACAATTTTTTTATACAACTTTAACCTGTTATTAAATAAATAAATGTACTTAACATTATGAGTTTCAAATAAATAGAACAAGTCAATCATTTAAATAACACTAAGATTTTATAAAAATGAAAAAAAGAAGTTATTTTTAAATCATTTTTCATCTACAAATGGATTTCAGTCATAGTCATTTGATTCAATTAATTATGTCCCCAATTGATGTTTGATAAATGAGATTTTATACAAATAAGAACATAATTTTTCAAAATGTTTTAGCTAAGTATATAGTCTTTCTTTCTTTATTAACAAGGCTATCTTTTAAAAATTTCTAGTCAAGAATATATGTGCACATCCACTTCATCATTCTTTAATAAAATCACAAAGATCATATCCTTAATTATAAACTTCTAAAAAGTGATAGACTTAAGTAAGGAAAAAAATGTTATATTCTTAAAGTGAAAATTGCAAAGACATCACACTTGAAGCCAAGATCTCGGATTACCTTCATCTACAAGTGGATTTCTGTCACAATCATTTGATTCAATTAATTATGCTCCCAATTGTTGCTTGATATAAGAGATTTTGTACAAATTCAATCTTTTAAAACTTTGTGGTATAAGGATGGTAATTTCTTCTGAAACCCGCAAAGGTCTACAGGGATTCGTCACGAAGATGGAGATTCTAAGAATATTTCTCTTCGTGTAGTGGGGATGAAAGCATTTTTTTCGTTGTGAAATTTCGCAGGGAATTTTCTCAACCCCATAGGATCCATGGGTTTCCATATATAATAAAAAATATAAATATATATATTTTTAAATATATTACTAATTAAATTTTAGTCACTCAATTCAATTGACTAACTCAACTCAACTGAAATTCCTAGGCCCAACCCAATTCCTTGTCCAATCATTCCAAACCTAATTTAATACAATAAGTAAACTGCAAACTGCAAATTACAATTGCCAATTGTAGGTTCTTGGCTAATTGTTGCAGTTTATGCGCTTTTTTTTTTTTTTTTTCTAATAACATTATGTTGGAGCTGGAGTGCTAGACATGCATGGCAGTATCTATTTACTTGCTACACCTAGACATTGCTTTGTTGGATTCTATGTTTAATTTATTTGTTTGTTTGAGTTGTTTTAATTTTTTTTTTAATTTATAGGAAAAGAAATGATTAAATTTTATATATTTAATATATGATGGAGACTCCGTATATCTGTGGAGGACCATATCCCCTGTTGGTATGGGGACGGAGGCTATTTTTAGCTTTTCGCCAAAAATCCCCTTGAGGATCTCTGTACCCACCATTGATAGGGATGGAGAGAGGGTCCTATCCCCATGAAAACCCATTGTCATCCCTATTGTGGTAGCCTAACCTAGTAAGAAAAAATGTCATTCATAATTAAAAAGTTTATTGAAAGGTTGTACTCTTATTTGTATGAAATCTCCTTGATATAGAAGTTGGATATTGAGAAATGCCTTGTAGAATATCTGGCTAAATCATTGGCATAAAAGCACTTCCTCACCCATATAGTAAGAATTCGAACTCTTATTTCTCTTCTCATGCATGAAAGTTTCAATCAGTTGACTTATCCTATAAAAAAAAAAAAAAAAGTTGGACACTCATGCTTCAAAATATTTGCCAATTTCCAGTATTCTTACCAAACATGCAATCATCAAGTCATGGTAGATCTATCAACCAGATTGCTGGTGTCATTAAAACACACCCTTTTTTTCTTTTTTTTTTTTAAAAATAAACGACCATGATTACTTAAACATAAATTACACAATACTAGGAGATATATATACTAACTTCTATAAACATATTTCAGTGGATCACGCCCACAACTGGTAGAAACAAAGCCCCGATCGTATGTCATCCAAAAAAGGGGTAAACAGCTCACCTAACTTTATTAATTTGCCCAAACGAAAAGAATGCATGGGAAAGAACACAAAATTATTAGGTCACTTGCTTCAAAATATATTGTTTCACGAAATCAGAAAGAACATTATTTCTAATTAAAGAAATGTGGATCGAGGCTGAGAATTATTACTCAACCTCTCTAATGACTTGTTTCTGGTTATAAGTATATGTGCATGCCTCAAGTGCTTTTAGACAAATATGGCTTCATTAGTTTTGTTCCTTGAAGCCCTGCTGATCCGACGCTGGTGTGGTGATGGGTACATTATTGATCATCTTACTCTGAGTGAGGGAGGAGCGAAGAAGGAGACAAATAAAAACGCCAAATGTGAGCTTGGGAAGCAAGGGACTGCAGTTGATGATGACAAGCCCCAGTACGATGCCTGGGGCCTTGTGAAGGAGACCTGCAAAGTAGCTGAGATTTGCAGGTGGCCTTAACAAGTTAAAAGCCGCACAGGCTCTTGATATTTTCTTGTCTATATCTCATTCTCATATACATACATATATATATATATACACATGAAATTACATACATGAGTAAGGAACAATTTACATTGATATAAATTTAATAATTTTTTATGTCAAATTCCAGTTACATATTTTAATTGCTGAAATTTTGAAAAGAATTACTGAAAACTGGAGTTAGAATTATATCAGTGTCACTTGATTCTAACTCTAAGTACATAATTATGATCTATTGTCCTAAAATTTACAAGTCTCTGTAGCAAAGTTAATTCAGCATTATTTTGTGCCACATACTCGGGTACAAATTCAATACACTCCACCAATTCAGGTTTCTTTTCTTTTTTTTTTTTTTCTTGCTTTTAGATGGTAGTATAATAAACAGGGATACATGCTGCTTGGTACATACAATTTTGAATAATTTTTAGACCAAAAA